TCGATTCCCTGCCTCCGCCGTGGACGGGGCGAGGCCGTGCTTCCTCAAGCACCCCTGGCATCGACGAGCGCTTCGACCGCATCGAGCGGGAGAGGCGCCAACGCGGCCGATAAGCTGCCCTTCCCAACACGACGCGATTTTTTTCGGTCCACGTCGGGAAAAGTACTTAAGCTGCTTGGTTTGTTTCAGATGACCACCTGGTCCTCCTCGCTCTCCTCCCTAACCCCGGGGCGGACGTCGTGGCCTCTCAGCGCGGGCGGCGCCTTCCCGCCCACGCCCGCCGACGAAGGCGACTAAAAGGTGCTTCCGGAAGGAGCTGCAGCGCAAAACTAATCGCGTGGTCAGCGTCGTCCGCCGGGGAGAGTAGGACGCCATACAGGGGCATATTAATGAACAAAAAGCAGTTCATAAATTCAATCTCGCGGATACTGTTATTATAAAATGGTGATTTCCAATGCTGAGGCGAAAATCATATATGAATTGTGATGAATTTTCAATTCACTGCCAGAATCAAGTACAGGAAGCCTATGGTATGAATGTTGTGAATAGGATTATCAAGGCTGGATAATACCCATGATAGCGTCATTTTCCAGAATTATCAACAAACAAAGCCCCGCTGGTCTCAACCCGCGGATCCCAAAATACAACAAGACATGCGCATGTAAGAGATAGAGAAACATCTGAATAGGTACTGCGCGGGACAGGCCACACGACGCTGTCTCTAGCGCAGACGCCTCGTTCCAAAAAGACCGACGTGTCAACAGCAACCTCCTGGATGAACTACACATCAAAGATAGTCGCGGATTCTATGAATATCATCGCATATCGACTGCCAATGTCAAGAAAGAAGCCGCTGAACTCAGAGAGGCCATGGCAACCAGTTTATTTATTATCACACACATGCAGTCATGCCAGCGAGCCCGATGCCCCAGATTTCAAGACAGAAAATCTGACTAAACTGTAACATAGCACATACCGCTATTTATGTAGTCAGTGATGCACGAGAGACGCAATTATGGACTGATAAAAACAAAAGTGGGGAAGAAGCAGATACTCTAACAGAAATTCAGTAAAATAGTATTAATTGTCGATCGTGACGTAGCCTTGCCAGCAAAGTTTCTTGTTGATTTCATGCATTATTGTTATTTTAAACTTCCTGCTAGCGTGAAATTTGCGGATGGTGTTTTATAATAGTTCTCTGGCTCTCGCTTTACCCACCAGGGCAAGTGAGCTCTGTGTCTCCAGCATGAATAGTGTTATTATACCTAATATGGTATAATCACCCTTTACACGACCAAGTAATAAGC